AAAAAAATTGACAATAGGAAAAAATCTTGGGAAAACAGGGGAAACTTGGAAATCTTAATTTGTTGAACAAAGGATAAAATTTTCGAAATTTAAATTTGCATGCGAGTGTCTTTACAAATGAGAATATCTAACAGAGGGATTTTTAAAAATGAATTCGAAATTTGAGAAACTTCGCATTCCCTTTTTAGAAGGATTCCAACATATACACCTATTGCCATTCGTTCTAAAATTTAAAATGTACTAGGATACTGTGTATTTTTTATTTGCGTCCTCATTTTTTTGTTTTTGTTTTATTTAGTTTCTCACCCTTACTTATCTCTTCAGTGCTGGAACCAATGAATTCATAGGTGACGTGTTGAATTGATAGGTTACGAAATATGTTGATGTTAGTAATTGATAAATTGATGTTCACGCGTTGGTAAATCAAAATTTCAAAATACAAAATAGAGCGTCTCGTTTGTTAAATATAAAATTCGAAAATATATGATGAATTCAGTAGGGCGTGCGTTTATACAGAACAGCGTTTCTGCGTTTAACAAGAAAAAAATTACTCATTTCCATTTCTGGCTGAATTTATACTGAAAGTAATTTCTTTTTCGTTTTTCAAAACATTCGTTTCTAGTGGAAAGACCGCCAACAATCCTGTTCAGACATCAGCTTGGCCCGATTGCCCAAAGCAATGACGGAAAACTCATCGTTTACCCCGGAACTATTCTGCACCTCGAATGCCTCTGGTTGCGGAAATTCGGTAATCCGAAATGGGTCATTTCGCACAAATACAGGTAATTATGAAGGCACTATGAATGCATTTTTAAAAAATGAAGGAACAAATGGCGAAACTGGGCTGTTCCGTATCGTGAGTCTAAAGCCTAATTCATTTCTACTGGACCATCCGTAGGGGAATTGATTAAGGAATTAATCCAATTAATTTCTATCCGCATAGAAATTAATTTCCGAAATTTTCAAAACAATTCATGATATTTTATTTTGGTCTGCCACTTTTCGCAATTCAACTTGGATAGTCTAAATTATCTTTTTAATTTTGATATGTGAGTCGATTGATGATAAGAATTATGCTTCCAATCTGCATGCGGACCCATAAGCGCTGAATCTTCTGATATAGAATTTTCTTTAGTTGACAGATATTCTTTTTTTAATTACAGTACTGTACAATATTCAATGCTGTCATGACTATCATTGTGGTATGCTAAAAAAATATTTCAATTTTTCTAGGAATGCTACTTCAGACAATATAAGTAGGAATGGTTCCGAATTATCTATTGAAACTGGGCTGTGGATATGTTTTTAACGTTCAAAAAGTTGAAGACAAGACTGTTCTTTCCAAAAAACAAGTAATGTTCACGACTAAAATTAAGTTGAACAAATTGTCACAGAGAATTTCACGATAACATGCATTGAAAATAGATGATAGAAAGACCTCATACCCAAGAGATTCACTGTTTTATTGTGACGTGACTCTTTTCCGAGCTGCACACGACTAATGAATATTAATATGCAGTTGTATATACGCATTTACCGAGAAATTCCGCAGAACTTTTATATTTGATTGTCTTTTTTATTTTTCAACTTCGGACTAAAATTTCAGGTGCAGCATATAACTGATCATAAGATGGGAGTCAATTGAACTGGGAAATTTGTACATGCCCACAAGCGCATTCGTCTTCGTTAACATTCCATATCCAAATAAATGCAAAAGCTTGAATAAATTAGTATAGGAAATGAATCCGTGCAAACAACAAAATTGATTCAACAGTACAGTTTTTTCTCGCACCTGATCATCAAAAATTGATCAAATTATTCACAGAGATTATCCTCAAAATTGGACTACCGATGAGAACAGGAACCCGAACTTGGAGTATCGTCTGACCATTTACCACGCTCAAA